CACAAATTATAACACAAAAACATAAATGTTTAGACTAAATAGCTTAAATCTCATAACATCATAGATTTATATATATTTATTATTATATTGATATTGACCTTTCAGCCATGCCTGGCTAACAATAAAGAAGTTACAAAGATGTGGCACACGTGCACTCATGTTACCGTATCCAATAACCCAAAACTGACCTTAGTATATAGAAAAGATAAGACATTCCTATTTTATATTCTAGCTTGTCAATATTGTTAATTTGAGTTTCTAATTCGTACAAAACTATAGACTTAGTATTTTGACTTCACAAACATCTAATTTGAACCAGTGCTGCGTTCAACATACCACATGACACATAAAAATCGATGTTTGACTGTGTTTTTAATATTTACTTTTAAATTAAGAAATTGAATAATGTATAGTATTAAAATTTGAATTATAATCTACAATTTGATACCATACTTATTGACATAAATTTATGGCCTTTCACTAGTGACTCATCTTGAAAGGGTTAACATTATTCCACATAATGAGCACATTATCTTGTTAATATGTTATTCCACATAAGTATCTATTCTTAATATGTTATTCTACATAATAAGTATGTAATTTTGTTAATATATTATTCCACATAACAACAAAAACTAGTAGAGGTAGCATAGGCATGAACGAAGTGTAATACTAGATTTAAAATGCCGAGGAAAATGATACAAATCATTTGGATTTTTTAGCTTTAATAAAATATAAAGTAGATTTTCTATGTTAAACACAATTTTATTTCCATTCCCTAACCTATAAGGAAAATGTGCTGTAATTCTGGTTAGGATTAAAATAGGATCAAAGATAGTTATAAAACATTTTATACAAGAAACTTGGTTGCCTACACCCATTTTACTGTTTGTAATTCTGTTAAATTCTTACAGTACATTGAAATTGAGTAGAGGTTGGAAATGATATAGATGTGAGAGACTTATTCTTTAAGGCTTATAAATTATTTCCAAAGCCTTTTATTTTACAAATACTTCTTAGATTTTATTTTTTTGCTAAATAATGCTGTCACCTTAAGAAGAAAATAACTAACCTTCCAAAAACCTTATCAAAATTAGCTGGGGAGAGCACACCACACATCTGAGACTCAGGTGTAGTAGATCCTGTACCACTAAAAAAAACAAGTAAAGAAAACATACACATTTAAATAATTAAGACACACAGTAGTTTTAATTACCATCAATTATATTTAATCTACGTGTAACTAGTGGTGCATGAAGATGGTCAAAAGAGTAAATTCTGTAAACTGGGAATAAACAATTATTCAGCTAATTAAAATACCCAACTCAGTTTGACCAGAAAATGGAGCATTATAGAAGTATTCTGACGACGCAAGAAGCATCTATTATGAAAATACTATTTAGAATCTAAACTGTATACAACTGTGAAAGAGTAATGTACCAGTTCTCATTTAAACTTAACCATAAAACATTAACTCTTATCTGAGCCGGTGAGCAGCTCTCCACGGTTGAGAGAGCTTGTTTGCAAATCAAACTTCACAACTTGAGTAAAAATATGTAAGAAATGATATTTTGTAACTTTGTAAAATGTAATTAGTGTAACTGGCAAAGAAAAAAAAATGTTTGAACTTTAACCTCTGTGCAGTTCCAATGCTTATTGTCTACAAACAAAGCCCTTACTTATTTTTTTTTTAATTTTCCTCTCTATCCCAAACTAAGGGTTTATATTTATCCAGACCATCACTACCTAAAAATAGTTATCCAAGATTTTGTTTCTCGTGTGACTATTACCTTCCTATCAATGACCATTTTGAAGACAACCGTGTTTAGAGGATTTTTTATGATACCACAGCAAGTGGACTGGACAGTAACTAATAAATCTTAGCCTCCAAACAAGACAGAACCAGTAGCTATACATGACTGGATAGAAAACACTCTTATCCAAGTCAGTGTAAAGTAAATAACACTTAGATAAGCAGTAATGATTTCTGAAAAAGTGACTAGTGGAAGTTATCATATTAAAGAACAAAGGATTCTAATGCAATGTTTACAAACTTATGAATAAGCCACAAATGTGGGATTATTTTTGTACTTTCTTCTGACAATCTTTTCCTTTATGATAAATATTTTGTGTTATATTATGTTGGTTTTCAAACTACAGGAATATTCTTGTATGAGAAAACACAAGATAAGGACATTTATGGTTAGCAAGTACAGTAACCTAGGAGTTAGGTAATGGCAAACTATTCAGAGGGCAGAAAAGCTTTTCTATTTGTGTCTATTAATAAATTTAGTTACTGAAAACAAACAATAACCATTAGCAAAATTGAACATGATCAAAAATATAGTGTAAGCCTAAGATACAAGTGTAAATTGTGTTTACCAGTCAACCCTTTTGCTGTTTATTGGTGTTGTATGCTATTTGCGGCTACATAACTGCTTCAACAGGTCAATATAAATAAACTGATGGAAATAAAACAAGTTAGGTAGTTTGATACACAAAATATAACTTTCTGATCAATAATATATAAAAAAAATCCCATTTTCTTTCTTTCATATCATTAATGGTTACTTTATTTGTATGTAAGAGCTTGTATGAACAGATGAAAAAATGAGTAGGCCATTACTGACAAAAAACAACACAACAATTACAGTTTTACTGGAAAACTATAGAATACATTTATATAGTTCTAAGTACACAATAAAAAACAAAAACTTTAAGATGATAAGAAGTATGTATTAATGTTTCTTATAAACAGTGTTTGAAAAACAAAATTCCTGAAAATGCACAACCTAATATATGACACAAATATTAAACCAGCAGAGTTTTAACACTGTATTATAGACAATATCTTGGTCTCAGCAGACTTTTAACACTGTATTATAGACAATATCTTGGTCTCAGCAGACTTTTCACACTGTATTATAGACAATATCTTGGTCTCAGCAGACTTTTCACACTGTATTATAGACAATATCTTGGTCTCAGCAGACTTTTCACACTGTATTATAGACAATATCTTGGTCTCAGCAGACTTTTAACACTGTATTATAGACAGTATCTTGGTCTCAGCAGACTTTGCACAATGTATTATTTTCAGATGATTTTTACCTTGTATTCTCATATTTTTTAACATCCACAATTAAGGGTTTGTATTTTCACACACAATATTTCTGTCTCTTTTTTTTTATATATTAGTTAACAAAACCTGGTAAAGATGAAATGTTATTATTCCAATTGGTCAATTACTTTTTAAAAAGATAATTTCCAAAACATGTGTTTCCTTTTTGCTAAAGGTATAGGGTTTAGGCCACTAGTTAGTTAATAAGACCCAATATGCATGTTGCAATATTATCATATTAATGTTTTATTTCTAATGCTAAAAGGAATACATAATCATGTGATGAGGAGGTAAAATAATTAAAATCTAATTAAGGTCTATTAGAACTTGTCAGATAAATTGATTGTAACCTTGATAAACTGTCTCAATAAATATCATGTAGAAAATACATGTTATTTGGCTTTGCTAATGACCTTTTTATTAATCCCTAAGATACTGGGCAACTAATACCTTTCAATTAACTGTAGAGCCTGTAAAGGTTAAACATTTAGAAAAAACTAATCAGACTGCACTGTTTTCATTTATACTTCTAACTAAAACAGACATTTCACTAATGCATCAAAAATAACTGTTTACACAGTCAGGATACTAAAAAAATGTACTTAATACAGAAACCACAGACCTAAGACGAAGTCTCTTGGTTGGTGAAGGTTTACAAGCTCCAGTAAAATCACTACTCCAAGCATAGTTCCAAATATGTCGGGGTGCCACACCTTGTCTTTTTCCCCATATGTTGTTTGAAGTAGATATAAGTTTGTTTTCAATCCTTGGGGTCCCAGGTTTTCTGTTCTTCTCTCCCCACAATAAAGAACCAATTTTCTCCAGGACTGTCATTTTCTGTCTTTGATTTCCCTTCTTCTTCTCTCTGAGGATTCTTCCCAGCCTGTTTTTTTGCAGCAAGCTGTTTGGAGTTGAGATTTCTTGGGATTTTTGGCCCTCTTCCTTCACAACTGCCTGGATCCAATAAACTTCCCAGATTTCAAAATGTGTGCAAAACACTGCTGGCATCAGAGTTTCTTTTCTAGAACTTAAATACGTATATTAAACATTTATAATATAGTTTAACACAAAAAATTCTGAACTTAAAAGAACAGCAAAAAGAAATATCAGAGCAGAAAGCACAAAATTAAGATGAAAAAAACCCATTCAATCTTATTTTCCACAAACCAAAAGATATAACTGCAGGTTATAATAGACATCAAGAAAGGTGGACACTTTTTAATGTATTTTACAGCAATGAAAAGAAGTGGGACATGAAAATGTGCCAAGAAAAGTCACAAGATCAGAATTTTGCTCATGAAAAAAGGAATAAACATATAAAATATACTAACAGTATTACAACATCCCATCAGGATAACTAAAATTCACATTTTTGGCATTAAAATGAATTTTAAACAAGCACTTTCCTTGTTGAGTTGCTCTTATGCTATCAAAAACAATGTGAATCAAAGTACTTAAAAATCCCTGATACAATGATACAGAGAGTACACATCAAATTATTCATAATTCTCTGCTCTCCCACCTTCCACATGCTTCAGATCTTACATAAGCTGTGCTTTCCTACCACAATTAATTTTCTCAGTTGCAGTCATGATGTATTTTCTGGTTGTGGGGAGGAGAGTGGGAATGTATTTCAGAAGTATATCATTTTAATCCTAAATATTTAAAATTCAAATCAAGTAGACCTACCTCTGATATACTGAAAGCCAGAATACCCACACTTAACCCTTTCATAACTGGTACCCCTTTCTATGCAAGTCACCAAGTTGCATTCAAAATTTAAACAACTTTACTATCAATGTATGTCAATGAAATTAACATTTAATGTATGTTACAATTCAAAGTCTTATGTTATCTAAGTTTTAATTCCTTTGTTTCAAAAAAATCTTTAAAAAAAAATACTTAAACTTCAGTTTCGTTTTCACGTGACCCACAAGCTAGGAAAAATGTCAACTTTCGCACTCTTTATCTTGAATTAGATAATCCCAGTCCTGTAGATGCATATCAAGACAATAAGTATGTTTACTTGCCCTACTGACAAGCAAGTTTCAAAGTTCTTTGGTTGAATTCAGTAGAGACACATAATATATTTTGTCAACCCTTGATGTGTGCCATACCAACATTCTATACTTATCCTTCAGATTTACAAGCTACATGTACTTACTTGTTTATGATCATTAAAAAAGAACTCATTTTACACTATAATCCAACAGAGGTTATTTTGTCCTCATCAGGTAGATGTAACTGCCAGTAGTATTGTTGATTGATTTATCCATGATAGCACTTATGGCTGTTTGTTACCTGAATATATTATTATTAAGAGAGACAGTTATATTGTATTTAGGTTTGACTTCTATATTTTAGTTAATTATGTATTATTTATGTTTTAAGGCTTAAATTTCTAAGCGAGTACAAAACATTTTGCTAGAGGCTAAGCCGTCTCTGCCGATAATAACGTTATATTGCCCATGGGCATCTGTTGATGTGTGTCCATACAAATAATCAAAGATAAAGAAAAGGAATATAAAACATTAAAAATAAATTGAAACTTCATAATATTTATCTACTTAATTTTTTTTTCAAAATTATCTTCATCCTTGATTTTTACAAAAAAATGAATTTAAAATAACAGTAGTTAATTTTAATGAAATTAACAGAGAGAAAACCCACAATGTTGAAAAATGGATAAGTGTAATAAATATAGTTACTTTCTATATCTAAAAACAAAGCTATTTCACTTGTTTTAAGAATACCTGTTACAACTTTCACAGTCTAGGTAAGTGTTTTAGTATTCTTTGCACCAAAACAACTTCCTCACTTCTTCTATTCTTTCTATATTATGGTTACACTATAAACAAATCATTCAAAATGGTGACTTTATGCTAATGTTTAAAAAACTTACAAACTAATTAATAACATTGGAATTTTACTTTAACACACAAAAAAACCCAAATTGATTTTTCCAGGCAGTGTTTTGAACACACATATACATGTAAACCTTTACAATATAATTCTGTATATAATTTAAAATGATTAACATTATTACAAATGCAGTGGAATGTGTTATGGTATAAAATATCACTTACAATAGATGTGGTACTTTTTGTAACACTGGAATTGCTCTGTTTGTGTCATTAATCTTCAGCAAAGTTGGGCCCAAGACTTTCAGAATAGCCAGAGATGTCTGAAATATCACCACATTACCTGGAAATCAAAATAAAACCAGCTTGTAATTACAGTCAATAGGTTTACAAACCAGAAACATAATTCTCATGCAGCCTACATGCTTCTAAGTATCTAAAGTTATGAAACTTGCCATTCTTTGAATACTAAATACAAGAATTTCTACCTGATTTTAAGTTAGTAACATAACCTACTATAACGGGTTACAAATGGAACTTAGTAGTACTTGTTTAGATATTTGTAACATAATATCATTAATAATAACAGTAATGTTACACAGTAAATTGATAAAACATTCCCACCTAAAGCACAAACATACTTATAAATGAATCCTCTACTCATATTCTTTTGAATTTAATCTTTCTGGATCACAAACATCTGGTAAAAGTTTTAAACTTTCCAGTGATTCTGTTGAAAGACAAATTCATGTTTAACCCTGCTAAGTTTTAACCATTTCAAATTTGCATAACTTAATTCATACAAAGAAAATCTCAAAAGAAAGTATCAACCTATTCAAATATATAGGGAAATAGATAGCCAAAGATGATTAACAAAAAAGTAATACTTTGTCTTGCTAATGGTAAAACATTAGAAAAATAAGAAGTTAACATACTTCTAAACTGTAACAGCTAAATATAAATGCAGTTACTGGTCAGGCATGATGAGTTATTAAAAGATTTTTAGGCCAGAATTGCACAGTATTTTCATTATACACAGTATCATCAAAATAAGTTCAAGTATCAAATAACCTGATTATTTAGTTTTTGGTAGTCTTTTACTGAATACTTCATAAATGAGTGTCATTCGTAATACTTAAAAATAAATAAGATCGTAAAAGTAGATAAATACAGTTCAAGATATCCAATAACCTGGGTGATTTTCAAAGATATTCCTTGGAAAAATACTCCCTCGTTTTAAATTCATTTCTGAACAAACTTCAGGTTACAGGTTTCATCATTAGAGAATGAGAGTTTATTCATATAGACTTTGCTAATTAAACCTGGACTACTTGTTCAAACAGTTTAAAAATTTACAAAATAAGTTTAATAATACTCATTACAGTGACAACTAAAAGACTATATAAATTAGCCAATTGCTTAGGATAGGGTGAATTTCTGCAAATGGGTTGACAATGGCATTGAAGGCTAAAAACTTAGAAGCAAGCACATCTCTATGGTAGGGTGAATTTTAGTAATAGGTTGGTAATGATGGCTTAGAACTATATGAATTAAGAAAATGTCTAATGTCTGCAGTGAATATTGGTGATGGGCTGGCATTGAAGACTAAACTATACAAGTTAGGACTGTGTAGGGTAGGGTGAATATTGGAAATGAGTTGACATTGAAGACTAAACTATAGAAGTTAGGACTATGTAGGGTAGGGTGAATATTGGAAATGAGTTGGCATTGAAGACTAAACACTGTAAAAGTTTAGATTGTGTAGGGTAGGGCAAATCTCTGGTAATGGTTTGGCATTCTTTATTGTGACATTATTCAGTTCTTATAATCCATAACACAGGTGAGCTGAACCCCTTATTCTTTGTAAATACAATGGGAGCTGTCCAACCAACAGTTCCTAGATGTACTACATCTCATAGCTTGTATCTCGTCAGAGCTTCCCGTTTAGCCATAAGTAGAGGATTATAGCATATAACCCAACAATGTCAATTCTACATTATGCCTTTTCATTCCTCTCAACTCCATGCTCCCATTTACTCTCTCAACACGGGCTCAATCAATTTGACTGACCACATGACCTCTCTGTACTCGTTTAAAGTCTTTATAAATTAAATACTTCTAACTTTCAATATAGTGTGTGTGTAGTATATCTTCACAAAATGTGGCAGTCTTTCAGTTAATATTATAAGTCTTTCTCATACAAAAAATC